GCAAACCGCGACGGCAAATTATTTCAATTTCCATTTGGAACTCGACGCTGCTTTTATACGTCATGCTGAAGTTGAGCTGTGGCGTCGTATGAGACAGTAAGCTCATGCAGCCATTTTTAAAATTCTAACTAAGAGTAGAAATTTATTTTTTAATCGAAGTCTTCCTTGGCGTTGCCTTCCTGACTGCTTAAGGTCCCTAATAACAGGAATATGAAGGTGATAGGAGCATTGATACTCCTTAGGATACGCCATGTACTTCATCGCCGGTAACGTCCCGGTATTAAGTCAAGTTTCCCTAAGAATCCGCCAGTACTCAAATAACCTCCTGGCTGGGAGGAATTATTTTGAAAATAAAATATCTTGCATGATAATATGACATAAAGACAAAAAGCTGTTATGTTTTCATTCAAGATGGGGTCTCAATTTTTGTGAACTATAAAATAAAACTATCAAATGAAGAAGCAAAATGGACTGGTTAGGGTACCAGAGCTTACTTCTCTATTCTTTAAATTTTTATCTTAAATGGGGCTTCGGGCCCGTTAAGTTACCGGGACTTTCGAGAAACGGGCCCCTGGCCCACAGCTGGTGACCCTTGGCCTAGTTACAGGAGTATGATCATAGCAGGTAACTTCCTGGCATTTCACCAAGCAACCGTACGAATTTGTCCGAGTTAATAATCCTCCTGGGTGGAAAGAAGTGCTTTGAAAATTCAACGTCTTCCTCAAGAAAATGATACCAGGGCCTTTGCTAGGGCCTGAACCTTGACCTGTTGTCCCACAATCCGGTTATACTACATGACAGATGTCCTTCTTTTACATTTTTCATGCGAGAGAAGGCAAACGTCAGACGAACGCGTTCTCCAAGGGTTTGCCTCGCGCTCTCCCACACACCTCTGAAAAACGCAAAAACAAACCCTACGTATCTCGGACGAACAACTTTCTTACACTCCCACCAGTCTTGAGATCATCAATTTTCAATAAAAAGAGAACCTCTAAAGAAATAATAGTGATACCTTAAGTTCGTCCATTGCCAGTTCATGAACAAGATTGTGTAGGAACTCCAGCAAGCGTTGAGCAATTTCCCATGCACGTCGCCCCAACTTGAACAGAAGAATACATTGTCGGGAAAAAAGGTAATTTCGTAGGTCAATATAGCTGGCTTCTTGTGTCTTGATGAGTTGTCTTAAGAAGTCTTGAGAACTCTTAGCTAACAATACTCCATCAAAACATTTGTAATCTCGCATGAAGACATCGATGCAGTCAAGGGGCTCTTGGTGAGAAAAAGAAGTAAATATTTGTCAGATTTTACACTCTTTCCTTTTTTAAGGAAAGTCATGCTGGATAAACACATCAAAGAAGATTCCTGATTTGAAGATAAACTAGCTTTTTTGACAAGGAAGATCCCTGCCATAAGATGACAATCAATATGGAAATTAGACATGAGAACATGTGAAAATCACTGGTCTAAGTGATCTTTGAGAAGGAGAAAAAACAAAATACATAGAGCTGCCCTCTGTCAGTACCTTTAAATTTAGAGTTGATGACCAGCTGAGTCAAAAGAGCATCTATTTCATCGTATTGAATCAAAGCTTCTTCATAGAGACCCAGCATCTCAAACACAAAGGACAATTCCTCCTAGATATCAAAACAAAAAATAATATCTCAATGGGGTACTTTAATCATTCCCATGGGTGACCAAGACAGAATTTTCCTTACAACTTCAATACAATATCAAGCAAACAAGTGATGAGAATAAAGAAAAATGTGAACAAGGAAGATCATCATTTGATCCAATACCAAATTCTCCAAACTAACATTACAAGAATTGTATAGCAGACAGTAAGGAGAATTACTGGTATGATCTTGGGAGTCAAAGGGTAAATGGACCACCAAGTTTGAAAAGCTGTGCCACTAAGGCCAAGGTTGGTTGACCAAAAACCTCACCACATGGCTGATCTAAACCATTTGTCTCTGGTTTACAGCCATCCTTAATAAGTTTGTATGTGGAAAGAGCTTGCCTTTTCAACACAGCACTTTTGTGAAACTGAAATCTAAAGCTTGGTTATCATCAGGCACAAAATATTCATGTTTCCTTTTTGTTAAAATGCATGTTTAAAATTTTCAAGAATCTTTACATTCAATAATTTGAGTTGAGGCCAAACAAAATTCCCAGCCCATCAAAGTAACTCATTTTCTTTTCATCAAATGCAAATATCATAAAATCAATCATAACTATTATCATGATGTTGTTTGATCCCCTCACTCCTCAATCTAAATATCAATATTCCCACCACTGTCTGCCCGACATTTCTCATACTTTTGCACTAACAATTTGGTTTTAAATCAGCCAATCCCCAATTTCATCTCATCCCTTTCTCTCATCACTTTTCTGCTTCAAGATGTACTCATGCCAATAAAAAAATATATATTTTTGGTCACTCCTATGACTGGAAAGGTCATACCAATACAAATACAGGAACCAGTGGTTATACAACCTACCATCAGTAAATGTAAGATATTTAGAATCAAATCTTATATCTTGCACAGAGAAATGTTAGGGTTTGAACTCAGCCCTTTTAACCCTCTTAATTTGAATTTGATGCTTTTCTTTGAAAATGCCTTTCCTCAGAGTTTGTAAAGACTTTCCTCAGGAACCATAAGGATATTTTCATGTAGCCTCTGATATCAAACTACATTTTCTCACGAAGCCTCTGATATCAAACTACATTTACATCTTACATGCAATAAGAAATATTTGGTGAAGCTCCATTGTGGTTCAGTTCGTCTCTCCCTTAGTGATCTGACTTGATCTTCAAACCTCCCCAAGTGACGATTGAACGAAGATAGCAGCAACTGCCGTAGTTTGGTGACCAAGTTCTGCCATGATTCTGCAGATCGTGTTGCCTGACTCTCTTTAAAAGGTTCCCAAAGCTGTATTATTCTAGCATGGACAAAGTTAAAATTATTGCTGGCTGAACAACACTGACTCTTTTCAGACACAAGAACAATAGTGCTTCACAGTGTAAATCTCAGTATGTATAAAATAAAAGTAGATTCTAGTTACTCTTTGGGGTCAAAGAATCAAAGAATGACATCTCATATCCAACTAACTCACTGTACAGGATAAGTAAAGGACACACATATGTGTCATGTATGACTTACTGCTTTAGTTTAGGTTTTAATGCATGCCTTTCTAAACAAGTTCTCAATTTTACAAGTGTTCAAAGTTGGTGCATTTTGTTCAGGCTGCTTCCACATTAGTGATTGTAATGCAGTTTTCAAAAACATGAGATTGAGTGTCTACTTAAATTAAACCAAAAGTTGACGCGAGACACCAATAAAAACAAGCATTTTTTCATTTATTTTGGCTCAAACATTTTATACTCTCAGATATTACACTCACCTTTCATTGTTCTTGCCACCAAAATCACTTTTGATTTTATCAAACACTGTACTGCGAGGAAGTTGCAACTTCGGTTTGTTTCCCTCCTGTGCCACAACTTGAATAATCATCCAGTCAACAATATTTCTATCACGTAGCTTTTTCATCCAATCCGTGATGCTGTCTTTTATCGTGCTTTTAAACTCATCTGCATCCTTTTACATAAAAATTATAAATACTTTTTAGGACCTACAGTAGTTGTAGCTAACTTGCTATACAATGCAAGTAAAACAAATTCACCTTTTTAATCTTATTTTGAGGTAACAACTTAACATTAGAAAATTAAGATAAAGAAAACAATAACCTTTAACTCTTTTACCCCTAGGAATGACTAACATCTAATTTCTCCTAAAAATATCATCACTGAATCACATATTAAGGTCACAAGAATTAAGAAAATAATCACCAACTAAAGGAACTTTTGATTGTTCAACAAATTCTCCTTGTCAGCACCTTACAAAATGAATAGAGAGCAGTATGGAGAATATGCATACTGATGGAAGGGTGTAGAGAGTTGAGTCAAACTGCCGTAGTTTAGTAGAAATTCCAACCCAGGATGCAAAACAAGAACTACAAATTTTTAAAAGCATGACTTCCTGGCCCCGGTTGTTCAAAGGATGGATAATGTTGAACACTGGATAAATCTCTATCCACGGCAGTGGATAGCGCAGTACGTTTTGGTAACACTTATCCACTGGATAGCGATTTATCCATTGGATAGCATTATCTGCCCTTTGAACAACCGAAGCCTGGTGTACAAAGTTTAAGGAAAATTATAATTATCTTAAGGTAAAAGATTGGGTAATAATTTCAAAGTTTCCCAGAAAAATTTCTCTTCATAGTTAGCTGCTCATTTTGTTTACAATCCAACAGCCTTGAGCCCAATATTATATGGACCTTTGGTACTGTCTGTATAAATATCATTCACTAAATTTTCCATTGAAAATAAAGATAATTCAAAGATACAACAACAAGGGATCAAGAGAGGAGAAAAGGCAAAATTTAGTCTACTATGGACATCTGTATGATAACTTTGAGAGGCATTTCAAGACTTGAAAAATGTGAAATACTGTTTCTTGAGGTTATGTTATCCATTTAACAGTCTATACCTGGCAGGCAGTCCAATAAATATGAAAGAATGGTTGTTTGTGAAGACTTGAAGCACTACTGACACTACTGACATCGACCAGCATGCCCTCAGACAAACGCACAAAATTTGCTTTCAATTTTACAGTCTTGGCAGGTCTTCCATATGATCTACAATGAAAATCCATCAGTCTTGTTAACCAGGAAACAAACAATAGAAAATCTGTACAACTTCCATTTACACTTATTATATCCAGGGCTCGACACTATGGGTAGCCCACTAGCCACAGACTAGTAGAAATTCAGTTTTGGCTAGTGGTTTTCGATTTCCACTAGCCAGTTTGGCTAGTAAACAAATTGAAATTGACCGAACTAGTTTTTCTCTTCTCAAGGAAGACAAACTCAAACACTTTTCTCGGAAATTCATTACAGGCGTATCGTGTTACCGGGCACATATGCAAATTTAGGTCTGATTACTTTTCGCTGTGACGCGTAAACAGGTGTTATGTTGAAAGAAATATCTGACCAACAAGTAAGCATTTTCTTTTTGTTACAAAATTACTTGAAGAAAACATGAGCTTCCTGATAAAATCTCGCGCAAAATCGTGCAGCACTGTAAAGGGATATCATTTCATTTAGAGTGACAACACATGGGTGACTTGTCGTTGTATGCTTACTTACAAAACTTGCCACAACAGAAACAATTAGATGAGAGATATTTAATTCCTTCAACGTTTACAGCTGTCTTTAGCAGTTTAATTTCGCCAATGACAGTTTGCTAGATCTTTCAGGAAGATGTTTTGGTTTTGAAACGTTTCTTAGCACCCATAAGTGAAGAAGTCTCAACAGTTTATACAATGACGTCTCGGAGTCTTGAAATTCTTCCAAGAAAGTGTCAAAGCAAAAAGAGTCCTGAAAGTCTTCACGGGAAAATCGCTGCATTTTGCTTTGTAATTTGTGGGCCTGAGAGAATTGATGTGAGGAAAATCTTAGGCCATCAAACAAAATTAAAACTGGCACAATTGACTGTGATAATAACTGTTTTGCTGTGTTTAATTAAACCAGTCAAGCATGACAGAAGGTATGCAGACCATGTGTCAAGCAGTCTCAGATGCAAATTCGCTCTGTTTTGTTTTTTTCTCAAAATTCCATAATGGATATTAGAGGACTTTTTACCAGAAGTAAAAAAGAAAAAGGCAAAGATGATAGTTCTAAAAAGAGGAGACCTGCTAAAGAAGGTGTAAGTCTAACACCTCCACCTCCAAGGTGGAAATTCCAGCAATCGTGGAAATCTGACTTTCCATGGGTTGTTCCCCTAGGTAGAGCAATGCTTTGCACGTGATGTGAAGAAAAAAAGAATCTGTCCAATTCCTCATCAGCATTTTTCTTAAGTGGCTGTTCTAATTTTTGCTAAGAATTTCTTAGGAGCCATGTGGGATCTGCTGGTCATAAAAGAGCTGAAGATTGTATTCGTATTTCAGCCAATCCACAAGAAGAAGCTATTTCTCGAGCCTTGAGACATTTGAACAAAGAGGCCATTTCGAAGTTAGAAAAGCTATTTGGCGTTGGATATTTTGTAGCAAAACTGGAGATGCCATTCACAATGTACCCTCAGCTCTGTCAACTTGAACAGAAGCATGGTATTTAGCTTGGGCAAACTTACAGAACTGATAAGGCTTGCAAAAATTTTAACATGGCAATATCCAAAGAGTTTAAGGGTGAACTTGGGCAGCAAATACAAAAGGCACGTCTTTTAAGTGTCATGATGGACGGTGCGACTGATGTGGGTGTTTGTGAGGTTGAAGATGTGTATGTTTGCATTTTGAACAATGGATAAGCAGTCAGTTCATTTGTAGGGCTCAAATCCTGCTCTGATGCTAAAGCACCAGGTATTACTGAAGCTGTCAACAGTGCTATGATGGACGTCTGTGAAAATTGGAAAGAAAAAGCTGTCGCCTTAGGCTCTGATGGTGCCTCTGTAATGGTTGGAGACGTGGGTGGAAATGCTAGTCATCGAGGTCTGCCTTGTTATACCTGTTCAAACTGCTTGTTGTGAAAGAGGCAACTCCTGTCTGAACAGAGTTATGTGTGACTTCAGCTTAATCCTTGATGTTGGGACTGTTGAAGTCCTTATGAGAATCTCTCTTAATGGACCAAAACCCTCAGAGTATCACTCTTCTTTAGCTGTTGCAAGATGGCTTGACTCTGGTGAGAGGGCTAAGCGGCTAACTTTCATGGACTAATTTCATCAGTAATTTCTTGCCATATGGATGATGGAATATCAGTATCAACCAGTTTAATCATGTGACATCTCATAATTATTACCGTTGCTGTCGTTATAATTATTACTGGAACTGGTCTAAAGATGGCATCTGGACAATCAAATCTCTGAACATTAATTGCAGCCTAACTGATTTCTCTCTCTGGTAACAAAACATCTTAACTATGTTGTATTTCACAAAATAATTGTTTTACTTTTGGAACTGGTTTAAGTAAAGTGTAATTATCGGTACCAAAATTATGTTTGAAAAGGTGTTGTTTGCATTGCGCTTTCAAGTCTTGCCAGTAATTCTGCTGTTATTGGACCTAACCAACATCAAAGCTTGGCCAGTAAAAAAAAACATTTGGGCTAGTAACATCTAAGTTGTCACTAGCCACCAGGTAAGTAAGTTGAAAAGTTAGTGTCGAGCCCTGATATCCCTGACAATTTTACTAAGATATTTACACAAAAAGAAATGTAATGTGCAAAGGGAATAATAATGAAATAATTATTCATACATGTAGCATCTTTACCACTCCTCCAAAACAAAAGTTCCTTTTTCCACCCCTCCTTAACTGATTCTAATGGCAGCAGGGGTCAATAATGTTAATTCTTTCACTCCAAGATCTTATTAGCAATATTCCTCATTGTCTACCCTATAATTCATTCATTTATTATCCAACTACACTTAGACGAGTACAAATAACGCCATAGACGAGTACAAATATCACGTGGTATTTGTACTCGTCTATTGTAGAGTACCAGTTAAACAGGTTTTCTCACATCGCGCAAGCGAAGAATTGGATCGTAGTTACCAAAAAAAGAAAAAAGTGGTGGACAATTTGAATCATATTTCTGACAACGAAGAGTCAGAATGGCTGGCAAATATAGGTCAAAGTTTATTAGATGAATCGAACGAAGAAAAACAGATTGACGACCAGAAAATTTCTTCATTTAA